TAATAATAATAATAATAAATTATGAATAAAATTATATGAAAATATAATCTTTAAATTTATTTTTCCTTTTGATTAGTTGATTTTACGATTAACCTCTAGGTTAGAAATTTCATTGTCGGAAAAAGATAGCAAAAAAAATTATCCCTAGAGTCGAAACTAAAAGAAATGTATAAACCAATGCTTCCATAAATTTGATAAATAAAATGATGTGATTCAAGATAATTGGTAATTATAATTGTTGGAGTAATAAAATAGTATATATGTAAATTCCTATATCCCACAAAAACATGCTTAATAAAATCAATATTAACAAGTTTTCTCAAATTTACTTGAATTTATTAATATTATATTTATTTTACAATTCTTTATCGAACAAGTATACATAATGAATAAGATAAACAATGTAATTAACATTTATTTATTTGAGATGTTGTGATATTTTAAGTTATTTTTAAACTCAAAACTTTTAAATAATTATTTACTTTGTGAAAACCTTATTAGAGATCTTAAGTTCAAAAGTGGGATTCAATAGTAAGATTTGACATATAATATTTGTGTTTGAATTCTCATATATCTCAAAAGGTCCTAATGAATTTCAATGTTAAAGTAAACAAATTCTCTCACAACTTTTAAAAGTTCTCGAAATCTCAATTCAATAACTCAAGAATTTTAAAAATCATAAAAAGTCAAAATCTAAATGCGCAAAAATTTTAAATATTAAAAAAAATTTAAAAATCCTAAATGTATATACCCGTAAAAGCTATTATGTTAAAAAAAAAAAAACATGTCAATCTTTTCTACACCGAAACTTGTGCTTTTTTTCGTAGATAGACTACACCAAAAATATATAAATCTATAATTCTATTAAAATAATAACCATTTTAGAAGTTTCCCGCCAATTTTATCTACATTACCCGCTAATTATCTAGACAAATTCACCCTCTAATTTCATTAAAAGTGTCCTAAAAAATAGTAAGTGTCCAATAATTTTGAATAAGGAAACAAATCGACTGATTTTTAGGATAAAAATTTGTTATTCTCTTTTCTGTTTTTTTTTGGTATCTTTTTTGCCTTTAAAATCGTTTCCAATTCCAATAAAGTTTATCCCTAACATAAATCTACTCGAGTTTATCTTTCATCTGTTACAAAATTCAGTACACGTCCTTATCTTGCAATTTAAAAAATCTCATCCCTTATCTTGGAATTTAAAAAATCTCATCCCTTATCTACAGATTTAAAAAAAATTTAAAAATCTCATCCCTTATCTATACAGATTTAAAAAAATTCCCTTACTAATACTTTTGCAAATATTATAAACTAGCAATACATCCTTGATAACAACCTAAAGAATATAATAATAATTTTAATATTATGTGTAATCAAATTTTGTTAGATGAAAATAACGCCATAAATTCGGTATCATCTGAATGTCTTTATTAAATTAGGCTTATAATATTTTAGATACTTTAAACAAAATTGGTTAGACATTTTTTTTTTTACATAGTCGTCTATATATACATATATATACACACACGTATACCTAATTGATGTTAAATTTAAATGTATGTAGACATGTTTTCTTTACAAAATAGTCTACAAAATTCTTTTTTGCACAATATTAAATTCAAATATTTTTAGATATGTTTTCTTTCTAAAATTGTTTAGAAACGTTGTAGGTGAATTCACATCTTTCAAAAATAATATAAAAAATTTTGAATACTTTTCCATATACTAATATAATATTTTAGGTATTTTAATATTAAACATCCAAATTTTATATTCTCGTATACAAAATAATGCAAATTTTATATTCTCTTATACAAAATAATTTTATATTGTTTGACCTCGAATCTTCAATTTATAATTATTAAGTATTGTTTATCTTTCTCTTTAATTTATAATTGTTTTTGTTCCTCTTTTTAAATAGGATCAATAGTAGTTCCCACTTCCGCCATTGAGTGACTCAAACTCGAGATTTATTTATAATATTGTTGATTTAATATTGTTTTCGTGCATCGCACGGGGCACACACTAGTTAATCATTAATTGGATAGTGTTTTCGAAAAAAAAAGTTGGAATAATTATCAGGAAAAACATATGTTGTATTAGTGTTGCAATACCCAACTAAGTGCATTAGTTAGCCTCGGATAAATTTGAATTCTAGCTACGCCACTGGCGACATTTCCCTTCATATCCGAGAAGTAAACAAGCCCTCGGTAGAGAATCGGGGCCCCACGCGATGGCATGAATCTTGATGCCGTTTTTTGCACGAAGCCGATTTGAATTCTAGATACGCCACTGGCGACATTTCCCTTTATATCCGAGAAGTAAACAAGCCCTCGGTAGAGAATCTGGGCCCCACGCGATGGCAGGAATCTTGATGCCGTTTTTTGCACGAAGCCCGGCCACCCGTTTTTTCCGTGCCCCAACACGTGAATCCTCGATATGTTTTCATAACTTGGAGTTTGGATCCCCAACACCGTGCAGTCCTCGAGTGGGTGGATAGAAAAACGAGACGACAGTGAGGTTGGGAGGAGTGAGCTCGACCGACCGGAGGTTGGAGGGGTCGAAGAGGAAGAGGGTGTAGTATGGGTCGGCACACGAGGCTGAAACTGTGGCGGTATCCGGCGAATAGGTTGGAGAGGATCAGGTCAAGGAGCTCGGGAGGGAGATCAGCCCAATTCCCCATGCTTACATTAATCATATGAAAATTTGAATCTTGCAATAACCTGAGAACAGAACAAAAAACTTAAACCTTGTAGGAGAGAAACTTTAGAAAATTTAAGAATACCTGTAGAGTTAGCCGATAAGAAAAAAAA